AAACTATAGTAAAAAAATTTTCATCAAGAAATTACTTATTTCTTTGGCCCATTCAATGATACCTCCAGTTTCGTTCCATGCACCTTCCGCCATGTATACTAATTCATCTCCTGTTTGCCATGCGATCAGAGGATAAAGTCCTGTTAAAAAAAAGAAATTAAAAATCAGAAATGGATTTTTTTTTCGCGTAAATAGTATTTATCCTTTCATTTTCTTCAATTTATTTCTAATTCTCTTGTTCTAATTCTCTTCTTCGAGATATTATTAAAAAAAAAAAAAATTACCTGCGACAGAAGCGTGCGGGATATTACCCGTGTTCACGTTCAAAAACGTGCCAGTTCCCATGGTGATTTTCAAATCTCCCGGTTGCATACACATCGAGCCGAACAGCGATGCCGATTGATCTGTCGTCTACTTCAAATAACACGATTAATTTCAAAAATTAACTTAAAATTCGTACAAATAATTTGTATTCGTCGAAGACAAGAATTCTCCTTTCAATTTGTTTAAATTTTTTAATAATATTATACAACTTACTGAACATAATATCGGAATTTCGACCCCGAATAAATCTTTTGGAGTACTGCCAAAATTTCCACTGGTCTCCACCACTTGGGGAAAGATATTGTGCGGCAATTTAAGCAAATTTATCATAGAGCTTGACCAACATTTGATAAAAGGATCAAAAATTCCAGTCGCTGATGCACTCGAAATGTCTGTCACGTGTTTTCCTATACAAAAAAATATACAGGATGTTAATATTATATTCATAAGATTTCTGAAAGATTCTAAAAATCAAAACAAACGGGAAAGAGGTCGATGTGCAAAAATGTCGATTAAGGCTTATTTATCAAGTTATAAGTTAATTGATAAATAAAGTTTGGATTGGACGAAGTGAGATACAAGATAGAGTGTTCTGTTTTTGTTACACTGCACTATTTCCATCTTTCTTCATTTAATATAAATTTTAATTAACAAATAAATTAACAAACTTTAATTAACAAACTTAACAAATAAGTGTCGATATTTTTGAATATCAACTTTTATATCTTCAGATTCTTATATTCTTCGAAAATATCCATAAATATATTAATAACCCGATAATTTATTATTTTTAAGATTTTTTTGGAAATAAAAATAAATTAAAGTAAATTACTGTTTTTATTCTGTAATAAAATTGGAAAGTTGAATGAAAAATTGACAGGGTGTAAAATAAATATATATTATTAAAATATAATAAGAAAATGAATACCAGTGAATTTATATAAAAGCCAAGAATCAATTCCACCGAAAAGGACATTTCCATCGTTCATCGCCTCTTGCAAACCAGGCACGTGTTGCAGTACCCACACTAACCTTAGTGACATCTAAGTAGTGTCGTAAAACAAATGATGAAAAAAAAAAAAAAAAGAAAAAATAAACATAACGATTAAATTAAAATTTTTCAAATGTTCTGTATCATTATCATAGAGAATTAACTTAATACACATAAATAAATAGAATTAAAAATCGATAGGAAATGAAAATAGAATAATAAATAAAATATTTAAAAGACATTAATATTTTGAAGATTTTCATTTCATTTTCTATCTTTTGATTTGAAACCAACTGGTCTAATTGAATTAAATGGATTATTAGATATTGTAATAATGATATAACAAGAGAGAGAACCTGTGTGTTCATGAATTTAAAAACGCTCATTCCAAGGAATCGTTTGTTCCTGGAGAAAGTGTATAAGATCTTCGACCCCATTTTCAATATTCTCATTATTATCGACGAGTTCCATTCTTTGACCAAATTGTCGGCACGTAGATCTTTCCATGTAATAAAACTGAAACATTTGATAAAAATCATCGTATCATTAATACAGAACGATAGAAATAAACTCGATTCTACACTCACTTGTGATAATGCCTTCCATCTTTCGAATTCCACGTTGTGAAACTGCCTCGTTGTGTCGAAATTCCCATACCAACTATCGATTCCAAGCTCACTTTTGATTCTACAATAATAAAAATATTTCTCATCCTCTCGAAACGAGAATTTTTCTACGTTTTTATAAATGATCATTCAAACTCACCTGTTAGAGTATTTTTTATTACATTTATTATAGTTGTCCACAACGCATCTGGATCTATTTCCACATAATTCGGTTTTGGATACAAAAGCTGGATCTAAACAAAAAGAGAAAAAGAGGATAAATAATTTTCCTCGAATTAATTAAAAAATCAAGAAAAATATATACAAAATTATAGTTAGATTATCAATAATCTTTTTAGAAAATTATTTAAATCTTTTTATGTTTTGATGCTTTAAAGAAATGCTTTAAAAATTGTCGTAAAATATATTCAAAGATTTTTAATACTACTAAATTTTTATAATCGTTAAATACATGAAATAAAACAATGAATAATGAATAAAAAATCAGTTGCATTAAATCTGTTGCATGTTGTAAATATATTTTTTTCTAATGATAATGAAGCTATTCCTGATCCCTTCTATTTATCTATTTTTTTATTAAAGTCTTTCTTCTTCTGCCTCTTCTTTTTTTTTCTCTATTATTATCTCTATTATTATTTTCCTCCAGTGTACACTCCTCTTTATGCAGATTTATTTTTTTAAGCAACTGCATAGAAGCACAATGGGGTTAATAAACAACACGACGATCGGTCAATTCACTCAATTGTCGTTGATATGGATTAAATCATCTCGATCTATGTGTAACAAAAAGACGGATGTGCAGAGAGTGTAACTGTTGGAACCGGTTTGTACATGTTGGAAGATAATTTTACAGCGAATAAAAGAAGAACATAAACATTTGTTGATCAAAAAAATATAATTCAGAAAAAAAATTTTTTTCCCGTAATCATAGCGCAGAATAATAGCGAGAATGAAAAAACTGTCATCCATTATTATTATATGATAAATTATCATATTTTTATTTTTTTTTTATAATTACATATAAGATTATTCTAATTATCGTTCGAGCATCATTATTTTTTTGCTAATTTATACAATTATATAATAGTATCTACGTAAGAAGAAACATTTTAATTCATTTAATGATTAATTTATGACTGAATTCGTATTATTATTATTTTCATTTTTCTCGCATTAATTATATATTAATTAAAAGATTAAGAAAATATTGAAATACTGAAAAAAAAATCAATAATTAATTAAAGCAATAATTTATCGGTTTTATAATATTTTTTGAATTTATAATTTTTCTAATAAATTATGTAAATTTATTGGATAATATTTTTTTTTATTAATGAGAAACAGAATTCATTAAAATCTAATTTAATTAATTTAAATCTATCAATATATAATTTTACTATAAAGATTTGATGTTTTTTTTATAAGTATGCATATATATTATCTCGAGTCTTAAGGTCATTATATAAATATTCAACATACGGATGTAACACATTCTTTTATATTTCAATATCTTTTTCATATCTATCGATTTCATATCTAGGAAAAACTAAAACAATGATTCTATAAGTTTATTGAAAATTATTCATATATTCCAATGTAAAAACTTATAAATTATAGATCGAATTATATTTTCAAATCATCTTTTTTATATTTTTATATGTAGTTGTTATATCACAACCATTATTTTCATATTTATATGTGAAATAATATTATTTTTTCACACGCACGATGATTTTGAATTTTCTCATTCTTTACTGAATGAAAAAATATAGAATAATTATTTCAAATATATAAACATATGTTTGAAATAATTCTTATTTTTAAAAAAGGAAAACAGATGTTACATAGTGTATAAATGTTTTAAAACATTTATTATTATTCGACATATAAACGTATTCTATTCTCTTTATTTCAAAGTCGTTTCATTTAATATTTTGTACACACACACAAACACACACACACATATATATATATAAAATATATACATGATAGTTATTTACGAAAGTTTTCATAAACCATAAAAAGACCATTAATGTTAAAATATTATAGTAATATAATGCTATATAATAATAATTTTGCAAAGATATTCAATTGCATTTATTTTAACAAATATATTTTTACAACGTGCACGAAGATTTTTATGATTGACAGCAGAATATAAATTATAAATTTTTTTTTCTTTTCTTCTAAAAAATATTTCTAAAAATCCACAATAACGGTAAATCTAACCTTTTCCGTTGAAGAAGCAATTGTGTTTCCTTCTTCATCGAGTATATGAAATCGTACGTTGGTGGTACCGACGTCGAGCGCCCCGATGTATCTCATATTTCTTTGACAACAATTTAAATTTACCTTTCATTCGAATCGTCAAAGATTATTTCAATGCACGTGGCCCAGAAAAGAGAATAGGCCGCAATACAGAGCGTGTTCGTATGAAGATACGCGACATACTGACGCTTATCGCATGTGGATTACGTGTTTAAAAGAAGAACATAGTACTACGCATGCTCAAAAGCCACTTTATCGGTATTACGTTCGCGTAGGCGAAGGCTTACGTTAGAGATGGGATCAAGTATATTGCAAATAGGTTCAAATCTTGATTGAAAGGTTTCTAATTCCTTACGAGTATTTCGAAAAAAGTAATACTTTTTATTTAACTGTGAAAATGTGAACGAAATAAGTTCAAATACTTTCTATTATAAATAAGGGAAGATCGATCAAAGTTAGTATCTGACAATGAATATAAAAGACCGATCTCAATTATATATATATATATATATATATATCTTTATCGTTCATCAACGATTAATTTATTTATTTATTTTTATCTTTTTTCTTTTTTTATTTATTCTTTTCTTGACTTTAAGTTTCCTGATTCCTGCTCCACGAAAAAGAGAAATTTTCGAGAGATTTCTCGTAGAGAAAATTCCTCGATAATTGCCAATTGTCTATCTGAAAATAAGTGAAAAGCATTGAACCTGGGGGGCGTCTCGCCTATCTCTAGCTTCGAATTTCATGGGGCGTCTGATAATCGTTCTGTTACGAACGAGAAATCGTTCAGTCGACTGGTGGCTGTTGGCTCATTTCAATGAAAATGAGAATAATAACAGCTCTTGGATTTCTTCTTTTTTGGCAGGATTCGGGTAAAGTGTCATCAAGTATCATTATCGTTTCCCTTTCTCCTTAAGACACGGAAATTCGTTAGCAATAAAGTTGTAATAACAGTGTTCCTTGGATTTCGAGAAAGTAGAATTGCGGTTGTAATTCGGCACATCGAATAACGACGAGAAACTAATTAAGAATAAAAAGATAAGAAATTTATTATTTCAGATTTATTATTCAATTCTTATAGAAAAAATCATAATAGTTAATGATACCTAAGAATAGAATTAAGAAATTTCACAAATTTCTAAATTTTATTTCCATCCTATTAATTTTGACTCTAGCTAAAACCTATTGTTTGAATAGATAGGTAATCATTGTTGCTTCTTTCAATCTATCGTGACGAATCAATTTTAATTCTCGATTTTCTTTTGTTTCTTAATCTTTTTTTTCTCACTAAATTTCACTAAAAATTTAATTAGAATTTTAATAATACAATTCTATTACTTTAATCCCTTCCTTTTTTATTTCATCAATTTTCTATATTATCATATTTGATAACGATTAGAAGAATTATCATCCGGATCAATAATGAAAAATTTGATTTCAATTCAGCACAATATATTTTGTCAGCAACCTTAGCTGAAAACGACAATGAACTCGAATACTATGCGTTAAATTGCAAGGATTATGACCATCCAACTACCTTGTTGAAATTGAGGAGATATCTTTTCTGCGATTACGATCCTAATGTTCGACCGATTTCGTCCCATCAAATCGCCAACAACGTGACCATGCAACTACTTCCAAAACTGATGGAATTCGTAAGCCAATGAAATTTATAGAGAAAATAAATTCTTCAAGATTCTAATTTATCACATTCACTGATTATTTATGTCCTGTTTAGGATGATTGGACCAGCGTGATGGAGTTGCACAGTTGGATGACCCTCGTGAGTTATTTTCCGAAACAATTTTACTTTTTTTGTAATCGAAGAATTCGAACGTTCATTCTTTTTTTTTTTTTTTTTTTTTTCTAGATATGGACCGATTCTCATCTTTCCTGGAAGCCTAGCGATTTCGATGGGATCAATTATATTTACGTGAGGAGCGACGATATTTGGGTTCCCGACATTTCCGTTTACAATTCGTGAGCATCAAAATAATCTTTCTTTCTTTTTTTTTCTTTTAATTTTTTTCAAGGTTTCGAATATTCGATGATTAAAAAAAAAAAAATAAATATATATATATATATATTGCCCCTATCGAATAAGAGGCGACATGACGTTCGATCAAACTGGTATACCATCTACTACGTGCCTGGTGTTCAGTTCGGGTTCGGTAAGCTGCGTACCATCGGTGAAACACGTTGCCAAATGCGCGACAGATTTTTCCTCGTGGCCGTACGACACTCATCGATGCCGGATTAATTTTGGCTCGTGGGTCCATTCAGGGGAGGAAGTGAACATTTTTCTCGACAAAAAGGGGGTAAATTAGAAATTGAATTACGACTACGACCATCAAAGGTTGGATTGTAACGACTTATTACCTTTTCTACCTTCTGATATCACTTTTTTAGTTCCACATGGACGGGTATACGAATAATTCCAAATGGGATTTCAAAGTTATAAAAGCGACCAAAGTGTTGAAGATGTACGCTTGTTGCCCGAACGACACTTATCCGATGATCGTTTACGAATTCTCCATAAGCCGACATTACGGCATATTGCACGCCACCTACGTCATACCTGCCGTAACAATGATGTTGCTCACGTTGACGGTACTATGGCTGGACTCGAGATCAACGGAGAGAATGATCGCAGCGAGCGTGAATTTGATCTGTCATATACTTTGCATGTCCGATTTGCATTGGCAATTACCTCACAATAGCACCAATCCTCCCAATATACGTAAGTATTTCCAAAATGCGAATTGCAAATGAATTAATGTAACTCAGATATGATATATATAATATATATATGTATACGATATTTATGATGATGAAATTTCTTGTGTATATAAAATCAAATTAAATTAATCTTTACATCATGTAAATATAGTTGTTAGCACGTTATTATTTTATTATAAATATATAAATACATAGTATGAAAATATAATTCTTTAAGTCAAGTAGGAAAGCGTATATGTATATACATATTTTTTTACAAAAAGTTTATTTCTTCCAGTGCTCTACTATAGAGATTCGCTTGCCTTGTCCGTATTCGCTTTAATTTTAACCGCTCTGCTTCGGAAAATGCAAGAAATGAACATCGAGGTGCCATATTGGATTTCTATAATAACTTCGTTCGTCTTGAACAACAGAGCCGGACGTTTCCTTATTCTTACCGAGAACGATACCAAATTATCCAATCAGGGAATACTTGGCGAAGAGACTGAAAACAATTCAGAGGTTTCGAAATCTCGGACTAAGGAATCGGCGTGGAGACATTTCGCGGCCATAATCGAATGGCTCTCCTTCTTCATCGTGATTTTCACTTACATCATCATTCTGATCACTCTTGTACCATCGACGTGAAGAATCGAATCCCCCTACGTTCTTCATCAGTAATCGATTGTAGATTCTCATTCTCAGAATAAATAATAATTTATAACGATGTTTTTTTTTTCAATATTGTATTGATAATAGTTTCATTTGTTATCCTTTCTCATATCTCTCATATCTTTCGAATAATATTTTTTAAATTTAATTTTTTTTTTTGTAAAACTTCAAATAAATTGGAATTTTAAATGATATTTGTTCGATATCTTATTAATCTTAGATAATTTACAAGTAAATAATTAAGAGTAATAATCAAATAAATTCTGACATGTAAAAATATAAAATCTTTGAGTTTTGATGATAAGAATATATTTACATCATCTTATTCTATGGATAATTTTATTTCAAAAATAATTATTAATGAATATTGGTAATAAGATCGATATTATCTTTAGGAATCTTTATTTTCCTTTATTTTTACAATTTTACGCTAATTTTCTAATTGGGCAAAGATCGTTTCGATCGATAGCCCATTTATTTTTTTATTCCAGTTGGTAGTGAACCAATTCGAAAATACCACATCTGATAAAAATCCGATAAACGAACGAAAGGGGGCGGTCTTCGATGTCCATGGTTTAACATTTCACTGGGCGTGTTCACTACCCTTCTCGATTCATCTCGATCTACTACTAGTCATTGCCGATCTGTCATTTCGTTTTCTTCTCTCTGTTAAACATGAAGAATATATTCCCCGTTTTATTCGTGATCATTAATGTTTTATTACATGGACAAGTGATCTGTTATATTTGCAAAGACATCACAAGCACTTCTGCACTTCATAGATTGAAACAATATCTATTCTGCGATTATGACAGGGAGATTATTCCCGAAGAAAAGAATGGCACTAAAATTGATTTTGGATTAAGCATTCAACATTATAACGTTGTAAGTATTTTTTTTTTTTTGCAAAGTATAAATAAATCGAAAATCGTCAATTTCTTTCTACTTTATTCCGTTCCATGCTCTTCAGGATGAATATTCGCACAGCGTCAATTTCCACGTTCTGCTAAAATTGGTGAGTGAAATAATAATAATAATGATAATCGGTCAAGACATCCGATTTCAATTTTTATAATTTTCTAAATTCAATTGAGATTGAAATTTTTCATATATTTGATATAAACGATAGATGTGGAAACAGAATCACTTCACGTGGAAATCATCCGAATTCGATTCTATCAATTCTATTCGCGTAAAGAGTTACGAAATCTGGGTCCCCGATATCGTGATGCACAGCGTGTAAGTTGCTAGCAATTGAAATGGATATGACGTAAATCGTTATCATATCCGATCAATTTTTTCTTTTTTTTTTTTTTCTTCTTTCATAACACAATTTCTTCTTCGTAACACAAATTACATATGATTAACATAATCGTTCGATATTATGAAATTTTGCTCGCACGTGTTTCACATCTGTTTACGAAATTTAATTAATTAATCTTATATAGGAAGATTCATGTATTATTAATATCTCGTAGATTATCACATTATATACGAGTTGTTACAAGCTTTCTTTAGCTCAAATTCTTTATTTGTTCGTTGTTCACAATTTTCAATTTTTTTAGAACAAGTGTCGGTGTCGATCTTGAGATGCCTTCGGTCGAATGCATAGTGTTCAATTCTGGCACTATATTGTGCGTACCGTTCACTACTTATACACCTGTCTGCGAATTTGATCACAGTTGGTGGCCTTACGATATATTGAACTGCACTATACATATTGCCTCGTGGTCTCACGGAAGCAACGAGATTAAATTAAACTCTTTGGATACTGAGGAACGAGTGTGTATAAAATTTTAATGTTTGTAATTGAATCATGTTAATTTTAATAACAATAATTTAACAGAGTTTTGAAAGATAGAAGTTGAGTTTTTAAAGATTGAAAAGTCGATAAAATTATTGATGCAAATTATTTCCCTAGATTTTAGATGATATGTATAATAATAACACGGAATGGGAGATAGTGCATATGTCTCACACCGAACGTACAATAGATTCCAAATTTGGTTTAGGTTTTACCACTGATTTATTATCCTATAATATTCTACTAAGAAGACATTACTCCATGAACAGTACGACGTATGTGACTTTGACTATAGGTGTGTAAAATATGTAAAAAAAAAAAAAAAAAATACATATATTATGATAAGTGGATAGAGTAAAAAAAAAAAGATTATTTCACATTTAAATTACAGTATTAATGACTATGACATTGATGACATTATGGTTAGAACCAAGTTCCACGGAGCGTATGATTATAGCAAATCTGAATTTTATTCTGCATCTATTTTGCTTGTTAGATGTGCAATGGAGGATTCCTTTCAATGGAATTCAAATACCAAACTTGAGTAATGCTTTAATTTTTACGATTATTATTAATTAAATTCGAATTAATATGAAAATATTTTGAAACTTTGCGTTATCTTGAATTATTATTATTAAATATTATTTTCTTTTTTTTTTAGTGTTGTTTTATGAAAAATCTCTTGCCCTAGCCGCATTCTCGCTTATATTGACAAGCATCTTGCGATACCTACAAGAATTACACGCTGACGCTCCAACATGGATATCCTCCATCACTGAATCGGTTTTAAAAAGCAAAGTAGGACAAGTGTTTTTAATTACTATTCTGGATTCAAAAGTATCGGCAAGAATTGAAATGAACGAGGATGATAACACGAGTTTGGTATCTCTGGATAGGAAACAGTATACATGGAGATACACGTCCATTTTAATCGGATGGAGTGCTTTCTTAAGTATTTCATTCGCTTATATAATTATGCTAATTATTTTTATACCAAGAAACAAATATGAAAGTTTTAAAAGTTAATTTATGAAATTTAACTTATGTATCTTTCTTAATTTAGAAAATTTATATTAGAAAAAAAAAAAAGGAGAAGGAAAAATTAAATATTCATCAAATAATTTAATCATGAATTTGTGTATGATGTATAAAAAGATATTGGGTGTATTGGGTGTTTTAAAAAAAAATTTTGATTCTTCTTTTTTTTTTTTTTCTTATAAATACATTTATTTTGGAAAAACATGTCGTATTTAATTGAATACGTCAATCGGATCTATTTTTGCATTTGTTAACAGTGCGATCAAGTTATCTTATTATTATCTTTGTTACATGAGTTATAACAATAAAAAAAGAACGATATGATATACATCGATAATTCTGCGTGAAACTTATTTTAGATGAAACTTCATATATGATTTACGATGCGGCATGAAATGTGCGAGTAATTTTAGCAAACAATAGAGTTTTTAAACTTGTAAAAATTGTAATTGCTAATAAATGCTAAATGCAAGAATAAAAAAAAACGTGATACTCTTTTGCTTATCAGAATTTACTCGGTGTTTCGTCAACAACTTCTTACATTATGTACATGATACGATTTAACATTCACGTGAATTACATATGCTACATACACGATGAAATATACATATTGAAAAAAATGAAAGAACAGCTAACTGGAAGAGTGAAAAAAATTCTAAATTCGCTTTAGACTTACATTTATCTTCTCTAAAGTATTGTAATTAGAATAATTGAAAGAACGATTTATACGCGATAAATACGTTGAAAATTGTAGAAAAATCGAAATGGTTGAAGAAATTATGCGAATACTAAAATGCCTATACAAAGTTACGATCAAGAGACAAGATGGAATGATGTAAATTTCATTGTGATTGATATAATAGATAATCTTTTAGAACCCTTGGAAGTGGAAGTGAATCAACTGCATTTCTTTTAGTATACTGTAGTATAGCATCACGACAGGCACTTTGTAGGGTAGATACTGCTGAAACATATAATTATTAGCAAAAAAAAAAAAAAAACAAAAAACAAAATATTTAGAAAAATATTGTACTTGTAAGAAGGAAAAATAACATACCACCATATAGTTGAACTATCCTAACTTGTTTTGTGGTACCATATACATCTACTACAGCACGTAAAGGTCCTGCTTTGTATGGTATGTCTTTTTCACATACACCTTGGTCTTCACCATTAATTATGAAATGCATTTCTGCCTTGTCAGAACCAGCTTGTGGCACATACATAATTCCAATACGACTACCAGCATCTGTGGGTAATATATATTGAGAAGAATCAATTGTGTTTGGTCTAAGAGCATTAAATGGAATAACTCCACGAGAAGTTTGCACATTTACTCCATCTGTGATCAATTTTTTTTCTTCAGATGGAATTTCACCTTAAAGAGAATACATATAAGTTAATTAATAATGTTTAAAAATAATAAAAAGTTAATTAATAATGTTTAAAACTGTAAAATAAAGTAAAATTATCATAAATTCTTTAAATATAAAACTTAATTAACAATGCTTAAAACCGTGTACAACTAAGATTACCATAGATCCTTTGAGCATAACTATCAAAACCATCCCATAATCCATATAGGCTTTTTGTAATAGCAAATATCCATGTATTTCCAAGTTTAGCGAGATTAGGCATAGCAAATTCTGGTAGACTATTATTCACAGACGCAGGATCTATCAGAGTCAGTCCCAATCTCATATGTCCACTCCATCCTCTTTCAGTCTTTTCAATTTCTACCAAGAATATTTCACCTGGTTGTAATGGTTTTTCACTAAAAGCCAGAGAGTTTGCAAAACTGGCAGTGCGATACGCCACTGTGTTATCTTCGCGTAGCATAATATTTTCCCCGTGAGTAGGGTGAAATCTGGTTACTATTTTTCTAGATTTCTCAGTCATCGTACTATATTATAATTAGCTAAAAAGTTGATTCGGAGCACCGGTACTATGAGTTTTCGAGGATATTGCACTTTGATTTTACGAGAAACCTCATTGAGAAAAGAAAAAGAATAATTTAAGGCGCTCCGATATTTCGCAGAAGAGAAATATGATCGATTTAAATGATACATTGGAATGCTTTCGATAATTCACATGATTGTCCGAGGAATCTAGCGGCTGAAAAGTGAGGTTAGACGTCCATTCTTCCAATACATTATTAAACTATTTTTTGATAGTTTATGTTTCAACACTATCGTTATATATATTAATTAAAATTCGTTGCCATAACTAATGATTCGTTGTCGAAATTTTATACTGAAATTGATTTCCAAGAGAAAATAAAGACAGACACAAGACTGGCGACAAACTGACGGATAGGATAACTACTATGAGAACCGAAACAGAAACAGCTGATTGGATATATGTATGACAGTAATGTATATAGGTAAATAATAATTAAAATACTTTGTTATCAAACAATATAATTATCTATTTCAAATTGAATTGTAATAAGAGAGAAAAAAAGATATATGTATAAATATATGAATTGAATAATCAAATATGAATTATATTTGAAAAACATGATTTTAAATTCAATGTAAAAGAATCAGATTGTTACAATTTTTTCTAAAATATTAAAAATATTATTTAAATAAATATATAATAAATAATAAATAATATTAATAATAATAAATATTAATAATAATAATATTAATAATAATAATAATAAATAATAAATAAAATATATAAAATATTATTTATTTAATGTAAAAAATAATTTTTTAATTAAACTATAATTTTAAAAAGTAACATTGGTCAATTTATACGTCACATTGCAAGGTAAATAAATTTTGACTATATTCGAAATAATTGATAATTTTAGAAGGAAATTAATTAAAACATTTTTATTTAAAATTTTATAAAAGATTTATTTCTAAAATTTATATGAAATTTGAAAACTTTGCGATAATATAAATAAAACATATAAAAAATGAATAAGAAACTATTTATTTTAAATTATACATTTTATATATTTAAATTTATGTAAATCGATATTGAATATCGATTGAACAATTTATGAAAAAGAAAGTTATTAAATTATTATGCAAATAAAAAATTCTCTTTATCTTTTAATTTCATAATATATAAAATAAAATATAAAAAAAATACAAAAATATATAAAATAATATATAAAATTATATATATATTTAATTTTAAATATATTGCAATCAATAGATCGAAAATCGATTCGTAACAGTGAAAGTGTCGACATCTTGCTAGTAATGTAGTAAAGATATAAGTATAATTCGAGGTTCAAAATTGATATCGTGTTAATATAGAAAAAAAGAACACGTATATTATGTAGATCGTTTATTATTTAAAATAAAATGTATATGATAAATTATTCAAACTCATTAAAACAATGGAAAAAAAGAAACAGGAAATATTTTCTTGAAATATTTAGTTCTCAAGTAATTTACAATTATCGAATGTACGAATTATTTCCAAAACATTTCTTCCAACATTTTTTGATCAATTATATAGATATCATAGATTATAAATCAATACAGTGTAAAATATTTCTACAAACAACATAAACAATTTATATTTCTCGTTTATATTGTTGTAAAAATAGGAATATAAAATATAATTCGATCAAGTGCTAATGAATGTTATGTTGATAAAAATTATTGTCTATTTTTATCTGAACTTCAATCGAAAATTCATAAAATAAGAAAAAGGTATTATAATCTGCTGATTTTTAACTTATATTAGTCTGAAAAAATAAATTCGTTAATTAAAAGTAAAAGCCATCATAAATATTTTTTCTGTATCATAGTATATCTTTATTGTCTTTAGTTCATTGGAAGAATATTCTGATACATATCAGATATTTGAAATAAGATTATTTATTTGGACGTTTCGAAACATTCAAATGACGGAAAATTCAAATCTTGATTGACATTTTTGTGAAGATGAAATTTTTGAAATATCTATGATTCTTTTAAATATTAATTGCTTTTTTTTTCATTTTTATTTATTAAATAAATTCATCTTAATCCTTTTCTCCTAATTCTGATTAATTTATTATATTCATTAGATATATTTATGCTAATCTAATTTTTTTTTAGCATTTGTGAATTTTTACCAATTCCAAATGAATTAAAAGAAAATTTTTATTTTCTTTTAAGATGAATATTTATTTATATGCAAGTTTTAACATTTGTGATTTCAAATATTTTTTATTAATTAGATGCAAAATATATTGATATGTTACATATACTGAAAATTGAATATTCCAAATTGAAAACAAGATCACATAAAAAATATAGAAGAACCGAGAATTTTAATTTAGGATTTTAAACAATCCTATTTGGCAGGAATTTATATATGCACTCAAGATGATGTTAATTAGAAAATGTTAATTAATACTATGAAAATTCCGTTTTGATGAAACATATATTCTATTTTTCAAAATTCACAAAAGTTATCTCTATCTTTGCAATTTTGATATATATATATATATACATATATTTTTGCTCAGAATATATTTTAGCATAAAGAATAAGAATAAAGAGAATACGAAATAAAGTTTGGAAAGTTTTCTGCTATATACTTTGTATAATTACAATTTTTTCGTCGACTTTAAGGCAAATTTCGAGGTAATTGACAAAATATGATATTGACACGAATTTCTTATTCGGCAATATTCAAAATTTAATTAATTTATGAAGCAAATAATTTAATAAAAATAGAAAAATCAATCTCGATTAAGATTAAGAGATATTAAATAGCATAATATATATAAGATTTATCTTTCTAAATAAAGGATTGAAAAAGATTAAAAAGCACATTGATACAGGAAACAGAAAACATTCCCGATTTTTTTTTTATCTATTAAAGATTCTGTTTCATTGACTAATGGATTTTATGCACAGGACACGGAGAATCACAGTTCCGGTTGCTTCAAAATACGCTAAATCATTGAAGATCACATAAGATATAAAGATATAAACTTATTTTTGTAGAGTTTTTGATTTTTATTATTTTAGTAGTTAACGAGAAACAATTCAATAATTTTTAAATAAAAATAAATAATTTGAAAAATAAATGAAAAATTTATGAAGTATATTAAAAAAGTAAGTGAATAAATAATATTATGATAATCAGTTTTCTTAAAATTTTGAGAAAGATCTATTTAATATATTAATATAATATCAAATCATACGTGATCTTCATATTTCAACAAAATTTTACGAAAATAGAATATACAAATTAGGAATTCGTAATATCACAAATTCTTCTATCATGGATATGTAAGAACGAGTATTACATAAACGAAAGAACATTGGAAAATAATTAAATATATTATCCTTTTCCGTTCAATCATTCAGAATCTAAATTGTCTAAGCGCATAGCACCTACGTGTAAGTACATTACAAAAAAAATAATGAAATATATCCTATCATAAGTATAAACTAAATCATGTAAAATTACCCTGAATATAAATACTTGGACATTTCTCACTTAAATCCTTGTTATTTCGTAAAAGAATAAATTTTGTAATGTTAAAGATTTTTTTAATGTTCTTTTCTATTAATAAAAAAAAAAAAAAAGAAAAAAAAATAAAAAAGAAGAGAATAATAACGAAAATACTAGAACAAATTATACATATATTTTAAAATCCATGCACACACATACATTGCTAAAAAAAAATGGAAGAATTAAAACACACACACACACACAAAAAAAAACGTCTACAAATATCAGATGTGTAAATAAATTTGAAAATGTTATTTTCAAAAAATTAATTAAATAAAATTAAACTTGATCATCGCAAATGATCAAATAATTTCCTCTATTCATTTAAGTTAAATTATATTTCTTTGAAATTAATATATAAATATAATATATAAATTAAATTTTTATTAATTTACACATCTGATATAATTTAAGAGGTAACAGACTTATAGAAAATTGTTTCTAGACTGCAAATTGATTCTTCTAATTAAAAATGAATTAAATTAGCCATAAGATATGCTATTTGTAAGAAAATAGTCGATTCACCGTGATCTCGAGACCTCTCCTTTTTTTTTTTTTTTTTTTTTTTTTTTTTTTTTTTTTTTTTTGTTATAATTATATCACGCGTTCCATTTCTGTTCAATCAATCATCGTACCATATATCTTCCCAAAAATAAATATCCTATCTAATGCCGCAATAATCTTATGGTAATGGCGTTTGAATTGCAGATTCTGCGACTGTTCGGGAATTCCTTTCATCATTATTGTTATTCTCCTTTTCTTCATTTTCCATTTCAGTTTTTCGAGCCACAGCATAATTATTCAGATATTCTACTACTTGCATATGTCCAAATGTTTCTGCTTCATCGATCGGCCTCTTTCCCCACCTGAAATATTTTAGAAAATAGTGTATCAAATAAGTATATCATTTTTTATTACATATATATATATATATATATATATATATATATATATTTTTTTTCAAATAAGAAATTTCTTGATTTCTGCCGGATGTAAGGATAATAAGAAACAGAATTTACCTGTCCTTAGGATCGTAAGGAACTGCACACTGCTCGATAAGAAATTCAACACAATCTAAATGTCCTTCACTGGCAGCTAAATGCAAAGCTGTCCTACCATCGTAATCCGACAATGTCATATCCATACCGCTCAATCGATGCCTGAGAATTGAATTAACAATGAGATAAATCTGAATAATTCTCTTTAAATTAATAATATTGAAAATATTGAGAATATTGCAACGTAGATAGATAGAAAATAAATTATTTTCAGAATACCTTCTCATCGCTGTAACATCGCCACTGGCCGCGCTGAACAAAAGATTAACGATCGACAGTCCTTTAGTCTCGTATTTGTGCCTTCTCGGATCCTTTTTATTAGTCGCATGCTTCAAGTTGTCGTACCTGTGATCATAGTAGGTGCTACACTAATCGGGACGGGATGGAAAACGACGGGAAACCAATGAACACAGACGATGTAAAGAAGAGAGTAATAGGCAGAATGTATTTGTTCAGGTATGGTATATATTCGTGCAGGTGTTGTGTTTGTAGCAGGAATTGTGAGAAAAGCAAAGGAGGGAGAATAAACAGTTTGATTAATGTGAGTTATTATTGTTTTCGTGATTCAAAGTTAGCACTTTGCAGCAACGATAATTAAAAAAAAATGTATAATTATATATATATATAAATATCTAAGTGGACATCTATCAATCATACAATCGTTTGGATTTTTGCTAAATTCTGTGTGATTGCAACTAATAACGTTTTATTTTTTTTTCTTTTTTATAAAAACTAATTGTTTCTTTTGTGATCATAGTTAGTGCGCATAACCTAACTAATTGTAAGTGTCAGCTGCATCTATGCAAGCACGCTAAACGAATGTAAATAGCATTTGTACCTATGAAAATTAAACTCGGAGACGAGTTCCTCGCAAAACTGGACACCTCTGCAGGAATTTCCGAGGGGATCCAATGGTGGTGACCATGTGCAAATGCCCATCACGTTTGGTATCACTACCAGAAGACTTCCCGACACTCCTGACTTCGCTGGGATACCAACCTATATATTCGAATTTTTGTTCGATATTAATCAATGTAAATCGGAAAGTATTACAAAAAGCAATGTATACCACGGATAATTATTGTGAATTTTAAATCAAATTAAAATATTTATTCGTAGAATATCACCTTGAATGCAAATTGGCCGCTATAATCGTACATTCCACAGCTATGCATCAAACTCAAAACATCTCGAACGCTGTCAGGTTTTAGAACTTTTTCTTCGGTTATGGGACAAATGCCGCCGTTAGCCAAAGTGGCTGCCATTACTGCCATCGTGTCGCAATTAGCCTCCATGGAGCAGCACTATCCAATAAAAATACATATATTCATTTATCATTTAATATTATATATTTTTACGTAAAATAAAAAAAGAAGAAGAGAGAGAGAGAGAAAGGAAACGAAGGAAAAAAAATTTTACCTGAAAATAGAAATCCATGATTTCTCTCAAATTTGATTTATCGGGATAACAATTGTACTCCCTCATGTAGAATCCAAGCGCGTAATTTCTGTCAGCCGCTTCTCGTTCCGATAAAAATACAGCGTTGTTGAAGCCCATGTTCTCCCCACCTGCTAGCCTCTTGAAATAATTCATCGTGAAGTCGAATTTTTCGGCTAAAGTCATTTCAGGCTTGATCAGAGACTTTAAGAGAGAACAGACTAGGATTGCGCCAGCGTTGATCATGGGATTATGGGGTTTCTCTGTAAAGAACCACGAACGTATAAAAATAACAGGACAAAACATAACGTAAAAGCATATAGCAGAGGAAAGAGAATTAAAAAGAATAAGAAATTTGTCAACACTGAAATTGAAATTGAAATGGAAATTAAAGATATAAATACTACGCGTTCGAAAAATAATCTAAAACATACTGTTGTAATCCAACACCAGCTCGTTGAAGTTGCGTCCGGACGGTTCCTGGCCGACATACTGATGAACTACTTCCTGTCCCAGCCTGTCCAGAGCGATCGCGTAAGTCAGAGGCTTGCTGCAACTTTGCAAGGTAAAAGGAATCGAGGTGTCACCGATGCTGAATCTCTGCCCATCGATCGTGCAAACGGAAACGCCCCAGTAATCCGGATTCATCCTTGCCAGCTGTGGTATATAAGAGGCGACCTTGCCCTCCGAGTTCGACTTGCATTTCCAATAGAAGTCCTCTATGTGCTTTGTGAAACCCGACCAATCGGGTATAATGAATTGGTGTCTGAACGCCCGTGAGATCAGCACTATGTTCGGATTTATAATTCTGTAACATGATTAAAAGAAAAATTATTCTATTCGTTTTATATTAAAGAAGATTTAAAAATCTTTCGTTTTCAATTTTTTATATCAAGATATAATTTTATATTATCTTGAAAAATTTGTGCGATATTTTTTTTAAAATTATCAATTCTTAAGGAAGTCGACTTACCTTCTAAATTGATCTCTGTTCAATTTTTGCGTCTCGTGAGATACACCTTCGTGACCCCCAGTCTTCAAATGTTCCTTCCTCAAGTTATCCGTGAATTCTTGGAGTCTTGGATCGTCGTTTCGCAAACCGGTAGTCCTCAGAGCCTGGAAACGTGTAAAAATAAGGAACGTTAATTAAATTTAGCAGATGAAACTGATAGTCTCGAAGGGGGACTAACACTACTCACAGCCAAAAATTTGCCCACCGCTAGAAGACCGGTATCTTCGTTTTTAAACATATCAAAGAGGACATCTTCCGCATTCGTCGCCTGATCTTGATCTCTAGTACTAGAAATAGAAATATAAATTGGACGATTTATTATACACGTTATTTGTGTAATTTAATCAGATTTCTCAATTGATGAAACGAGAAATTCTTAAGATAGAAATATAAAATGCAATATATTAGAAGGATGAATATCGTTGATGAATGACATTGTTTATTTTTCCAATTATATCATTGTTTACACTATATATAATAGAATTGCACTACTTATATCTCTATTTATATTCATTCTAAGTGTTGTGGCATGCAATTTGCATCTCATAAAATAACAAAATTGATCCCGTTTACGTTTATTTTTAGTTTTATCACTACCATATGTGAAACACATAATTCACTAACATGCAATTATAAGTAATAAAATACATAACAAATCTGGAATCATGCCAATATTCCCATTAACGAGATCCATAAAGCGCAAAAACACGTTCTTGCATTTAAATTTCCTCAAAAAAAAAAAAAAGAATATCTAAAAATAATTAATTAAATTTAATTGAAATTTTATTCAAAAGTCATCTGATTAACGACGTGCATTTGGTGTTAATCGAATGACGTACTTACTTCTAACTCGTCGTTAGATCAATAATACCGTTCATACAAAAACAGAGTTAAGGATGATACAACAAAGTTAGAATTTAAATTATATATTAAAACTATCATTTATAGTTTACATTTAAAGAAAATATTGTCATATGATGTAAGAATTTTTTAAGGATTTGGATATAAGGTTTCTCTAAGGAAACTGTTAACCTTTCACAATTTCAATCCTATTTTAAAATATATAAAACGTAGAATCTATATGAATCTAATATTGGACAGCAATGATATTGTGATATTTTGTAACCACAAAAATTATCCTATTACTTTTACTCATACTCAATATTATATTATATTATATATGCAAATAATATTATCACCAAGAAGCTTATTAAGATTCTATGCTTACTTAAGTGTTTAAAAAAAAAAAAAAAAAAAAAAAGTATCTATTGTCACTTTGTGAAAAAGAAAGAAAGAAAAATCTAGCAACAATTTTAGGAGAAAAGAGATAATTACTGAATTGCCGACAACAACATAATCACACTGTACTCACTACATGTAATGGCTGTCATGAATGAAGCTGTACTCGCTGTAAAAACAGAAACAAGAAGAGAGTTATAAGTTAGACAGACGATCAAGGATATCTTTACCTAAGAAAACGCGCCAATATCTGTTTTGAATTTTCGCTATTCTTCTCCAACCAGATCGAGTACACGATTTTCGTTCTAAGCGAATAATATTGAGAATCGTTCAAATAATTCATCGGCACTATCTCCGAATCATCGTACGCTTGATCCACCTTCACGCAAGGCACAACCATGTTTCGAATTTTTTTTCGAGACTTCGATTCCGACAACTTGCAATTTGCCAATTTTTTTTTTTTTTCAATCGAAGAATTATTTTAATTTAAAACTATTATATATCAAGCAATTTATAAATTTTATTTATAAATTTTTAGATAAGATTAAAAGTATCGTTGTTTATGTTAAAAATTGTTAAAAATTGTTTCGCGAATAAATTCTCACGATCTTGATATATCGGATATTTTTTCACTTGTTCTCTATTACAACTTGCTCAACTAGTACGTGTGAATACAAGACACAAGAAGGAAACGCTTCTTTTATACCTAGGCTAGGAAAAATCAACAACGACCCCACTCGAACACGAGAAAACTCGGTCCAAAAATATCAAATCCGTACGGGATAACGGGCGGAAATTGGAAACGTAATTTCGCATTACGAAACGTTTAAATAAACGATGGGACAAATAAGTTGGGTAAATTGGTTGATCAAGCAAACAACGAGTTCATAATCTTTTTTTCCTGCCTTCTTTTCATTTTTCATATTTTGACGTTGACTGATATTTCGATAAAATATTATTACGAAATATAAGGAGGGGGAAGGAGGGGAAGAATTTGAACTCGGGGAAAAAATAATCCGAAGATGTTCAAGGAGTTATTCTCGATCACGAAGGGATTTACGATTCAATCATAATTATTAGATTTTTATTATTGTGTAATAATAATAAATGCGAGACGAACGTATGATTAATCCAGAGTAAACGTAACACGTGCTAATATATCTCGAGTATCTGGCGAACAGTTGATTGGACAGTGAGTTAGAGCCATTAAAAAACTCGAGGAGGTTGGTGATAAAAGTTTCTTAATTTAACTTAACAAACAATATATTGCACAATATCGTCGTAAGGTAAAGAACTCCTGCAAAGGAACGTTTAAGATTTTTCGTATTTTTCTTCGAGGTTAGGTTCGTCGCTCGAAGGATATTCGATTCGAATGAGAAAAAAAACAAAAGAAAATCGATCGATTTCTATCGTTCTACTCATTTTACAACACGATACGAGGACAAGAAGTGAATTTTATAATTCTTTATAATTCGATTCTTACCGGAAATACCATTTACGAAAATTAGAACACTCCACGAACGATTCACTGAGATCGAAGCTGTCCATCGTCCTCCTTCTTCGAACGAGAGACCGAGCACTGATCGTTCATCGATTCCTCCTCTTAAATCAAGAAGCTTTTCTCCCAAACCAATTGTTTCTGTTTCTTCCAAACGCAACGCCTCTCCACCGAAGAAGGATCAGGATCACTCTCTCGAAACTCGAGGTGCAATGTTGCGTATAGAGGGCGAATTTGTATTTAAGTCGGCATCGATAAATTATTCAATAAATTATTGCACATCCGTGGGGTCGGATGTCTCGAAGGATATCGACGGTTCTCAATCGATTATTTCGTATCTCGTTCGTTTCTATCAAAGGAGAAGTCGAAAAGGGGAAAAGAAAAACAAAAAGATGGAAAAATATGGAAAAAGCGATCCGATTTCGAAGTAAAGCGAAAATTTGAACGGAGATCGACAGAGAGAGAGAGAGAGAGAGAGAGAGAGAGAGAGAGAGAGAGAGAGAGAGAGGAGGGATTGATCGATTGATTCTTCTCTTCTTCCCCCCTTTGCGAGAGGATTCTAATTAACAATTCCACGAACAAAAACCGATTGTTGAGAACCGTCGATATCGATTACTTTGAATTTATTGGCTCTCCATTGTGCCCCATTTAACGATATCTATTTCTTTATTGTTAGAAACGATCGCCTTTTTTTCTCCCTCCCCCCTCCCTCATTTAAACGAAACGAAATTAATAAACATCCGCCAAGATTATTGTACACCCATTATTGGCCGCGGTTCAACCGCTCTGACTCTCGTTCTCTCGCTCGCTCAATTATGCAATCGAACGTTTGCGGCTAATATCCGTCTCTCCGCGCGTACAGAGTGGCCGCATCCCCTCCGTATCCCGATCGATCGCCACGAATCCAATAATTGTACGTAACGGCGAGAATAATTTAAAAAGATCTCTTTTTAAATTAATAAATTGCAAGTTAAAGGGGAGAGTGAATTTAAAAAATTAAAAATCTTTTTTCCAAGTTTGGTTAGAGGATATTGAAATAACATAATTATTATTATTATTTAAAATTATTATTTATCGAATTACAACGTTCCCTTATGTGAAAATTATCCAATGTACAATTGGATTAAATTCTCTCGATCACGAGGAGATGTTGATCGGTCGTGCAACGAGGGCATAGAGGATCTCGGATTTTCTAGGCGAACTTACGCCTCACGGCGAGAATAATTTAAAAATATTGATCTTTTCGATTTCGCAACAAAATTACTTAAATTTGTTCCAAATTGTAAATTGAAGAGAAGGGAGAGGACAAAATTGAATTTAAAAAATTAAAAATCTTAAAAATTATCCAATGTACAACTGGATTAAATTCTCTCGATCACGGAAAGATGGTGGTCGTCGTGCAACGAGGGCATAGAGGGCATCTCGAATTTTCTAAGCAAACTTGGATTTTACGCGTCACGGCGAGAATAATTTAAAAATATCGATCTTTTCATGCCACGATTTTTTCATAAACAAATTGTTTAAGCTTGTTCCAAATTGAAAGTTGAAGGGGAGAGGGGGAAGGAATTTAAAAAATTAAAAATCTTTTTTTCAAGTTAGAGGATATCGAAATAACATAATTATTATTATTATTATAATTTAAAAGTCGAATTACAATGTTTCTTTATCTAAAAATTATCCAATATACAACTGGATTAAATTCTCTCGATCACAGGAAGATGGTGATCGTCGTGCAACGAGGGCATAGAGGGCATCTCGAATTTTCTAAGCAAACTTGGATTTTACGCGTCACGGTGAGAATAATTTAAAAATGTCGATCTTTTCGTGTCACGATTTTTTCGTTTCGTAAACAAATTGTTTAAATTCGCAACAAGAGCATAGGCAATCTCAAATTTTCTCAAGGAACTTACGGTGAGAATAATTTAAAAATATCGATTTTTTCGTGCCACGATTTTAAATTGTTTAAAATTGTTTCAAATTGCAAGTTGAAGAGGAGAAAGAATTGAATTTAAAAAATTAAAAATCTTGAAATCTTTTTTTCAAGTCGCAGAGAATATTGAAATAACATTATTATTATTTAAAAGTCGAATTACAATATTCCTTTATCTAAAAATTATCCACAACTGGATTAAATTCTCTCGATCACGGGAAGATGTTGATCGTGCAACATAGGAGATCTCGAATTTTCTCGGCGAACTTACGCGTCACGGCGAGAATAATTTAAAAATATTGATCTTTTCGTGTCGCGAACAAATTGTTTCAAATTGCAAGAGGAGAAAGAATTGAATTTAAAAAATTAAAAATCTTGAAATCTTTTTTTCAAATTGCAGAGAATTATAATATAATATATATATATTAATATTGAATATAATACATAATATAATATAATATTAAATAATAATAATTCAATATAATATATATATATTAATATTGAAATAACACGAATTACAACGTTCCCTTATCTAAAAATTATCCGATGTACAATTGGATTAAATTCTCTCGATCTCGAGAAGCAAGATGTTGATCGGTCGTGCGACAAGGGGATCTCGAATTTTCTCGAATGCGAACTCGATCTTACGCGTCGCAATTTTCCTCTCGCGGTCGAGAGGTATGCGAAATTCGAGAGTCGTAATTGCCGATCACCGTAATGGGACACCCCCCCTCGTGGATCGTGTTGCTGTTGGGTTCGTATAATAAAGAAACGAGTAGAGTACGCGTCGCGGCTCCTTCGAATATCGAAAACATGTAATTCGTTCGTTTCAAAGAAACGTGTTGAAGAATACGATTCTCAATACGAATCCGTACGATGAATCGAATCTCGACGTAGGATCTCGTATGGAGGAGGATTCATAGCTCGTCGAATTTCTCTTTTTTTTTTTTTTTTTTCTCTCTCACGAAAAAGATGAAAATTGTTATACGAAAATGAAAATGGAATTAATTACCGCGTTTGGGCTCGTTCTAATTCTAAGGCACTTCCGAAACCAGCGTCCAAGTATTTTAAGGTTCCCAGCTTCTTCGACGCTGGTACAGCGGCTCGTCTCTGAAAATAAAAGAAACTAATCAGAGAGGGAACTCGTGTTTTTTTCGCGTTAATGTAATATCAGCCATCCACATAATTTTTGCCTAGATTTATAGTTTTTTTTTTTGTCTTATGAATAATGTCGATCGATGCTTTATCCTAGTTCGAAAAAAAGAAAGGAAGGAAAGCAAGGAAGAAAGAAAGGAAGGAAAGCAAGGAAGAAAGAAAGGAAGGAAAGAAAGGAAGAAAGGAAGAAAGAAAGAAAGAAAGAAAGAAAGGAAGAAAGAAAGAAAGGAAGAAAGAAAGAAAGAAAGAAAGGAAGGAGAAAGAAAGAAAGAAAGAAATAAAGAAAGAAAAAAGAAAGAAAAAAGAAAGAAAGAAAGAAAGAAAGGAATACGAAATAATATAGTTCCCTTTTCCTTTTCAAATTTAAGTTTTCAGAGCTTCCTGATGAATTTCTTTCCTCGCCCTCAAAGATCGAAGGGAAGAAAAAGGTTTGGAATCTATCTGAATCTATCCTCCAAACCGCGTAAAAAGGGGGTCGAGATAAAGAGACAAAGAGGGATATAGTTCCGCTTTCTAATAAACCGGTCCAACGATCGATGAACGAATTTCGGGTCGGTAAAAACATGGCGAGGGGTGAGAAAACGCCGGTTGCCAGGCAATTCCGTATTGATCCTTTGATGAATCAACTACTCTAAGCCGAAACCCACCACGTGTGGGTCGAAACGTCTCAAACGGATCAAAATCTTAACGAATCGGAACGAGAAGAATGCGAACGAGTTAGTTGAATCGCTAAAGAGATTTGATATATTATATTTCTTTCATAACGAAATATTCTCATTCGATTTCTCCTTCGTTCAACGCGTAACGCAACGTTGCGCTTTAATAGGTTAGAATTCGAATATTTTTATCACTGATCACGCGAGATGACAGAATTTCAAACGAAAAATTATAATAAAATTTTCTCACCAATTTTTCCCGTTCGATCAATCTATAAATCTGTTTCTGTTTTCTCAACGTGACAATGTTCTTCAACTTCGAAAGGTAAATACAATTGCGTCGATTATTATACGAATAAATAATATCGGAATAAATTCATCATTGAACGTTGAAATCCGTAAT